CGGTACAGCGCGGTCGCTGGCGGCAAATCCGGATGCAAACTCGCGGCGCGTTCTGCAGTGAATTTACCAGGTCAAAATTTGAAACGGATAAATTTGCAAGGTCTGCACTCAAATTATCATTCTCCGTCGAATTTCCGCGATGATAGGAACTTAGGTAAAATAGATGAAATAGGAACTGACATAAGCTTGACAGCGAACAGGCGCAATTCGTTAGAGAGGAGTTGTGACCAATTACGTGCTTAGGAACTGAACCCAGAGAGAAGGGGATTCTGAATCAATGTGTCTCCAGGCGTTGCCCTCCCCTCGCTGAACTTAGTCGTACTGTCACCCCATCGCTGTTGAATTCCTCTACGATTAGAGACACCGAGTGCCAACGATCAGAAGCCATACATAGTACTGACACGCGAACAACATTGCAGCAAACCTCCTATTTATAGAAGTTCCTAACTGCAAGGGGATGGATTATCGCGGATCTGATGCCTTGACGTTTTCGAATTCTACTAACATACACAGAAACCTTTGTCTCTCCGGATCGCCGCGCATTGCTCCGCCCGCAATTCGCCGCGCGTCCAGTCGGACGCACCACAAGTGCCGCACCCGACATTTTGCGCATCGGAGTTTGAGTATTTACGCTCAAATTCACGGATTGATAGCGGGCGGCGCCCTTGCCAAATCCGTCGTGGTCCCACGCGGTGCAAAAACCCAAAACGCGCGTTGTCGTCAACGTGTTAGATTACATTGCGCTCTGGAATTCAGTGCTTCCTTTATGGAGTGATCATGAGGTGTGGTCCGCTGGGAAGGAGTTTTCCGCTTTTCGAAGCACGAAATTTTTTGCTCTGCGACAATCTCAGGTTCACCACTGGTCAGAGGTATACGTGAGGTTTTCGCAACGAAATAAGTTTAGTGCTGCGAACTGCGGAAAAGTCGCTTCCTGTCCAAGCGAAATACACCCGTGATCGTGTGCCCTTCTCAGCACGCGCCTCACCATTGCAGCCGCTGCTCTCGCATATTCAGTTCAAAAAAGCATAACGACTCTTCGACTTTACGTCCTGGTTTATAACTATGTCACGTCAGCCACGAGTAAATCGTCGCATTTTCATTTCAGAGGATTTAAGCTGTTTTCATTGTTATTGCCCACGAGCCTGCACTCGCTCGTGGGATCGTGGACCTTACCGCTGCTCGGCACATCCTTGAGGGCCTTGAAGCATCGCCGGGCACAGACGGTAGCACTCGAACCTTCCTCCATTGTCCTTCACTTGATCCACCCTGCGTTTGCTCGCTTCTCCAAAATCGAGATTCCCCTCTCTGTCAGATTCCCTCATGGCGGTCCACGATTGTTTCTGTTCCTGTTCGGAGCTTGTTCTTCTTCACATCCACGGGTCCGTTTCCTGCAAGCACTTCTGCCATTTTTGCACCTTACCCTGAAGCTCTTCGCAGCTATCTGCTACTAGGGAATGTCGTCAGGTAGAGGTTTTCAGTAATCCCTCCAGGGGCCGTATTCAACCTATCCCTAGGGAATGCGTCCCTCTCCTCTGATTCAATTCTCGGGGGAGACAAAAATGGGTTGCGTCATAGACCACTCAACTACTACTCTCGGTTGAAGCACTCTTTTCCCCATAGGGATCGCGCTGCTCTAACTGTCTGGCACATAGAAACACTAAGGGATGGCGGTCCTATGACGCAACCCTTTTTTGTCTCCCCCGAGGATTGAAACAGAGGAGGTAGATGCATCCCCTGGGGGAAGAATTGAATACAGCCCCAGGGCTTCTTGACGATGTCATCTAGTTGTAGGAAGGGGATGAACGAGCTCAGAGCTGATCCTTGGTGTACCCCATCTGTGATTTTCAAGCAATGGCGTTTCTTTCTCACTTCTCCATAATCTGTCTGACGACTAAGTCGACATTTAGAAGGAGTTTCGAGAATGAACCCGAACTGGTCGTGTGAGATAGGAACCCGCCCTGAGCTTTGGATCGGCTGACCGTTCATTTTTATGGTATGCACAATCAGCTTGATCCCACCGTTATTGGAAACAGGGCGAGCGTGCGTTGAGGAATCCTCAACGAGGTGGGTTGTTCTATCCAGTGGAAGGGCGGGGGTCTTGAGTGCATTGTAATGCAGTGTATGAGAGCAGCGGTGGCTTGTTTGGGAATGGATAGGAGCCGCCACTGGTGCCGGATGTCGAGTGCACGGTGCGTCTCTGAACGAGCTCAATGCCATGCACTTCAGTCCCGTTCCCTGCAATGGAGATGTGAATTCGAAGGGGTGGGGATTTCTCAGAGTGGGCTGTTCAAAATGATAGGAAGGAATCCACTACTCAGTAAGTGATGTTGTTGTCAGCGTTAACTTCATAAACACGTAGACATTCGGTGAAACCTTGCAGTACACTCACAAGAAAGCCTTTCACACTACAAGAAAGCAGACTTGCAAATTTTAAGACTATCCGTGCATTGACTTAGACTACGATTTTTTCAAACCCAAGTTATCTGGTATTTCGTCTACCAGCGTTCGCCCCTAGCAGCAACTAATTATTTCTGGCTGACGTACACTGTATTCGACCTGGATTTGATCCATGGACAATGCGCGCGGTAGTGGCTCCTCCTGTAACCACACCATCTCCGCTCAAACAAGCATTTTTAAACTGAAACCACACGTTTCGAAGATGACACAATCGAATTCTGAAGTTTATTGAGGGTTCTTAGTAACCGAATGTCATCTTGCGGACAAGAAATACATTTGAAGAAAGACCTTCAAACCGTCCTCTTGTCGTTTACGTTTCCAAACCGCCGATTCTCTGGGAAATTAATATTGTAAAAGGTCTTCACAGTTTCTGGAATAGCTATGGGATGCCATTGTTACAGTTTGATCATATTTGGTACATGTGCAACCAACCCGCAGGTAGATGTGAAATAATTTGTTGTGCATCAGCTGGCCTCACGACGCATCAGAAAGCGCCTGTGTATCATCTTTATTTCTGGAGCCATCGCCACTTGTGGGGGTTCTTTGCCACGGTGCGAATCTTATGTCTACGATAAAAGGTTTCATGCAAAAGAGAGCCTGATGTGGATGAATAGACGTTTTATAATTTTTGAACGTTTCAGTTCATTTCGAAGAAGTTGGAACTCGCTCGACAAGAAAGTACGTGCCTATGTGAAATTCGTTATCAGGACGTTCCAAGTTCGTCATTTGGCGAATGTAGGCTCGAAGACAAGCCGAATAATCCACTCAAGGTGGGCCACATCGATTTTTTTGCTGTGCCGGCAACCATATGAGAAGGTGATAAGAAGTTCCTATTCAGGATCATCATGCTCTGAAGTCCTTTTGAAGCACTAGTTAGGAATGGTTTCGCGGGAAAAAACCACCAATAATGAAGTTGTAGATGAAAACCAGACGATTAATGTGTGGTTTGTGCGTGAAAAACTGGAAAAAAACGTCGGGCAGGTCTTAGACAGGTACTCTCCCTCTGCCGCTCAGCAATGGATAAAGACGCACGTTGGACGAGTTGTCTGAACGTGCCCGCTGTAAACGCGCTCCATTTTCAATCAATTTTACGTGTGGTCCCAAAACGAACACGATTGCCGACGCGTCCAATGACGGCCGGCAAGGGAGCGGGATTGGGGAAATCCCCAAGAACACCCATGTTTGAGGGACTTTCCACCCTGTTTTTGAGTTTCTGAGGTAAGTTCGTTTATTATTTCCACTGCATATGTTCTTCACTAGGGCTCGTGTATCCCTCAGTAGTAGTGGCATTGAAATTTCCGGACCCTCCCTGAACTGTTGCTATAATGCGATCAGTTATTGTCAATACTCAACATTCGTTCTCTTATTTTAATCTAAATATTTCCACTACACTACATTGACCATAGAATAATAGAAGCGAACCTTCGTTGTTTTGTCAATCCTCGAAATTATAAAGACACATCGAAGGATTGACGAAGAATTGTCAGAATTGACGTTGGAATCTACCGCGTTCAGATACGTACACGGGTGTGCAAAACTTAAAGACGAAGTGGGTAAAATGACATAACTTACCAATAGTAATGGAATTGTGAAACTGTGGGTCTTGCAGTATTGCAGTCGTGCACAACAAAGTGGGCCTCACACGCGGAGCGTTTCAATCTGGATCTTCGGTCGGGAAACTGGGGGGAAGGAGGATGTGTTACGAGTGTGTTAAGGAGTGCTGCTCACAGCATTGTTTTATGCGCATGGGGAACGATATGAACCACAGCCACTGTTGCCCAGGGAAGCGATCATATGGCGCCATCCCATTGGCATTAGAGCGCACAGGTCGCAGTCGTCCTATCCTGCTGCGGCTGGAACTCGTCCGTATCACTCAACTACTAGGCTTCAGAAATTGATCGATCTGACAATTTGTGAATTTGGGTCCCAAAAATCTCGCTGAGTCCCAAAGATCTAAAAAAGAGCGAATAGCTCCTACTGGTCTGAGCCAAGACAAGGGCAACGGAACGAAAATTGTTGCGCGGACGAGCTGTCCGGCCACAACAGGACGCGGTAATTACCTCTAATGCTTATGGGATCGCGCCATAAGACGCACACCCCTGCTGCCCATAGAGGAGAAGATGGTGGATCACGAATGACCGCAACAGCACGTAGTTGCTACACTTTGCAGTAGTTAGGAACGGGCCCACGTCAGTAACAGGCTGCAGTCACAAAAACATCAAGATTGTAAGGCATGTGATCCTAGCTTGAACAGTGGCACAGTGACCGCATAGATAGCCTCTCTGCCCGACCAACAGTACCAAGTGTTCTTTTGAAACCCGCGGTCGGCGGGAACATTTGCTAGGGACGGAGACATTGGAAATGGACCACCAATTTGGAAGAACGTGTGCTCTTCTCGGTTTAGAGCAAATTGAGTGTGGATAGTGATTCTTTACTCACCCCCATCTCGCGAGAATAAGAACACTCAGGACCGTCGCTAAACATGATTGTTTGATAGACCTTTCGATATGTTGTGGGGAAGCATAAAGTTGCAAGGGCGTTCCGACCTCCCGATTTGTAACCGCGGAATGCTTTCTGATCGACATATTGTGACACTGTATTTATATGTAGCTTTTCAGCGGTGCGTTTGATCCCAATTTCGTTAGCATGGAGGACAATGTGCGCGCATCGAGCATCCATGGAGAACTCTTAAAAGCTATCGTGGCGCACCTCCATGCACCAATAAAGCCCAGCAATTGTCAATCCTAATGTTCGAGGGATGGAACGCTTCTCTACGAGAACTTTCGGCTAACATTGCGGCTGTTATGGAAGCACGTAGCGGAGCATGCTTCGCAGTCCATGGTGTTTGTAGACCTCATCGAGAACCAGAGCAGAGACGGCTCGTGCGTTGCGAGAGTGAATGCCCGCGCGGGAGCCGTCTTTGCTCTGGTTCTTGATGAGGTCTACGATGGTTGCTCTGGGAGCGTTACTGAATAGGCAAATATCCTCGACGAGTCGTTGGCAAATCCTCTTGGAGTCGTCGACAAATCCTCGACTGATTACTCTCTGCCCTGGTGTAACACCTCGAGCAATAAAAGTGTTTACGTGTGCGAATTGCATAGCAATCATGAAGTGTTTTCATCGTAACCACCATAGTACTCGTCCCTATTGCTGATTTTGGGGGATACACGCTCGGTAGCAAGCGCTTCGATGATTTTCTTTCTTGGGTACTCCTTGGGACCAGGGTGAAAATCGTGTCGAGTACGTGGTCGCAGAGGTACGACCCCCCTCCCGAAATCGAGATCCTGGCACGACCCCCTCTAACAGAGCAAATTAATTCAATTAAAATAAATCATGCAAAACAAATCAAAAAAATTCTGCAAATTAATGCTAAGGACGCCTCTCATCTTGTCATCTATGCACGTCTTTCCATCGCTGCAACTTTTGCTGTACATTACTGAAATATCGACTCGAGAAAAGAGGCCGACTTAGATTTGTGTGACCTCAAGGCGAGGTGCGTTCAGAAACGCACAGGATCCTGAGGGACACGGCGGGTTGCGATTCAAGTCTGGGAATTCTTCTCCGCTTGAGTAGGATCAAAACAGCGCCCGAGTGCTGTGATCAAAGCTGAGCCGTACTCTCCAACGGCAGGTTGGTTCGGCGCGTATTGTCACTGGTAGATTTGCGAAATTTTCTAAAAAAAACGTTACGAACTATACACCCTCGATGGGATAAGTTGCATTCTCCATATCACAACCTTGAAGCAGCTTGAGTAGAGTTAGATTAGAGCTGATTCGCGTTTCCACAAGGCATCGAAATGCTCTTTGGAGCCTTCCTTGCAGAAAGATAGGGGTCTGTCAATCGTCGAGTAATGTCGAGGGAGGGCACGAAATTTTCACGCGAGTTGTTGCCACTTCAAGAGCTAATTTATATCTCTTATATTGTAAGCATGCTGGAAAACGCCGCGGAAAGATAGTTGGTATTGCGGGAAAAGCCGGAAGGTTTGCCGATTCCTTGTGTCATGCTTTAGTTTTCTTTGTAGCAGCTTTTGGTTTGAAGATTGATAATGCCCGCTCGTCGAGGCATCTGGATCAGGGTCGGATCGGTCCACCTGGAAATTCCGCTCGCCTCACCGTTCACCATTGCAAGGTGTACTCCGCTTGGGGGACCAACACTCGGGAATGTGCGTGAGTGATAACCAGATGTATCTTTGCACAGTCGCGGTTAAAACAATATAGAATTAGGAGCAATCGGTCAGGTTATCGATTTGGTAATTGGTAGTAGCCATGGGCTCCCTCCTGCATCACAGTGGCGAATCGATTGTGAAAAGGTGGGGTGAGATGATGGAGAAACCTGTGCGACACGGAGATACTGGCTCTCCTCGTCGCTCCGCCACGTAGGTGTGTTGTTCTTACTTCCTGTAACCGAGAACACGCAATTTCTTCACGGGTTTTGTCGTTTGCGACAGGGCGAGCCGCCTAAACGATAACAAGCGTGCCCGAGTGCATTCTCAGCGAGGTATTAAGGGAGAATGGATCGAGCGATAGGCAAAGGAGGTGCCTTTGCAGCGAGTGCGCACATGTGCACTCTTCTTTGCGGGGATTGCACTTTCATCTTTGTATGCCTTCAAATACGCCCTTCTCATGGAGGTAGAGGAATGGAGAGACTGAACCTGCTAAGAAAATTTAATATCATGTTTTTTTCGGGTGCTTTCATTTTCTGCTGCGCTATACCCTCTTACCTATTTGCACCATGATACCACTTCTGTTACTGACCCCAAGAGTTCGACCCCCCATGGACCAGCACAACAGGTACGACCCCCCTGTCGAGGATTTCCTCGACCGATATTCACCCTGCTTGGGACTGTGCAATATAGGTGATGCCGATAGTGCAACTTGTCGTGTGTCAGTGTCGGTGCCACAGTAAGCGGTGCCGCCGAAACCCCCATTCTTCGGGTAAGAAAAAGGATTCTCTCTTGTCGTGCAGAGTGCGCAGAGAAAACAGGTCGTAGATACGAGGACATTGTTGGCTTTTGGAATTGGGTTTTCTTGCATGAAAACATCGCAGCCACCCCAAGACTGAGTATGGAACTCATCCTTCCTAAAACGTGAGTTATGGTGTATCGCCCTGTTCTTAAATTCATAATATGGTACCTTTCATTTAAGTGTAGGTTCTGACTATGCAACAGTGAGTGACTCAACGTTTCTCCGTGTGGTCTCGCGTCCCACCAAGCACTCACCTTCGCTCGTAAACGTAAGAACTCAGAATGAACAGCTCGCCATCCCATATGGACGTAGTTGCAACCAGTCTTTGTTGAATGTATGCTTCGGGAGAGGAGCCGTGTGGCAAGCATCACTCCAATCATGTTGCTCGCAAGTGAACCTGTACTTGAAGCGGCGGAACCTTCGGAAGTGGTAGATTTAGTGGACGCCTGCGCAAATACTACACGGTATTACAGGCTGTGTGAATGTTGCCAGGCGGGGTGAGTAGCTAGATTCGGACGATCCCATAGATCCAATTATTCACACGATCCCGTAGGTTCAATCTAGGAGGCAACAGTGGAAGACCGAGAAGATTTCTCGAAACATCTTTTCCTTGGCTTTCAGACGGGTTCCATCGCTGTGATCCCGCCTTCATTTGAAATACTCGAACCAAGAGACGCACAAGATGAAATTTCTGTGGAAGGATGGAAGAATATTAGGTTAGTCATAAACTCCGGATCGCATTTCACTTAATATCACTAAATTCCAAGAAAAATCTCGAAAACGTGAGCCATGTCCTGTAATGTAGTAAACACTTAAAACAATAATTACAGATCGAATTCGTGGGGTAAAGGCGGTCGATAATGAAGTTGTAGATGGCGAGTTCACTGCCATTGGAGCAAAGCAAAGAAAATCGCGATGAAGGCTTTAAAACAGGAACCCCCCCCTCTTCTCTTTAAAATGAGGAAGGGACGTGTCGGACGAGCTGTCAAAACTAGCTTGCTCGGCCATTGTTTATTGCTTGATCGTGCCAGCAAGAGATGCGGCTGCAATCACATATGCACCAGTACGAATCAAGACATGCGAGCCAATACAAACAAAGAAATAGGATAATTAAACGATTCAAGGAAGTAAATCAAACAAAATCTGGCGGCAATTCTTGGAACACAGAACAGTGTGCACGTAATCGTGCAAGGACCACGCACCAATGACGCGGTCTCTCTCGTGAGCAAGTGGGCGGAACAAAAGATTATTCGAAACCAAGGCGTTCGAGTTCCCTTTAGCGGCTTTCCAAGGTGAGTTTTTCGTTCAGTGAAACGGTGTTCTTGACTTCTTATTTCCACACCATTAGTATCGAGAGTGTGGACCCTCTGGCAGGGTGAATATCGGTAGAGGGAATCCTCGACAGGGGGGTCGTACTCATCAAGCTTGGTCATGGGGGGTCGTACTCGTGGGGGTCAGTAACATCAGTGGCGCAGATAGGAGTAAGATGGTGTAGCGCAACAGAAAACGAAGATATGTAAGGGAACATGATTGAAATATTCTTTGCAGGCTCGTTCGCTGCATTGTTCTACCTTCATGGTGGGAGATATTTGGAAGCAGTACGAGCGAAAATGCATCTCCGCAAGGAGCGGGGCCACATGTGCACATTCTTTATAACAGCACCTCCTTTATATGCAGCCCGCTCACTCGCCCTTAACACCTCGTTGAGAATACCACTGTTTTTAGGGACGCTCTAGCAAAAACGACAATAGTTTTAGAAGGTCTTGGACAAATGAAGCTGTTCCTTAGGTTACAGGAGTTACGAGATGTGTTACTGTTTCTGTCACCAGGTCAACAAATGTATAACAGCTTTTAATATATTCTACAAGTAGAGTGGAGGTTGGATGCATGGCCTATACTGAGACGAGATCGGACGATCACAATTGCCTCTTTTCTTATTGCTTATGTTAAACAACATGTTCTAGACATATTTCGAGCGTTGCCAACGAGCTGCACCTGCAATGGTGAGAAAGGGAGCGGGTTTTTGAGCGGCCAAGAATCCTCTTGATAGAACCTCGACGCAAATATCTCCTCAACTAGACAATGTAGAAGGAAAATGAACACATTGCTATTATACAAAGGGCAAACCTTCCGCTTTCCAAAGCTGTCCTCTTTTTCCCAAGGTTCTGCCAAATTGGAGAGATAATGCCTTTTAAGTGGCAAATCTCGCATGAAAATTCCAGCATCCTCGACGTTTCCTCGACGGGTTTTGAGAGACTATATCTCTTCGAAAGGAAGGAAGGATTTTATAGCAAATCCAATGCTGCCTGATAGTAGCAAATCTAGCTCTATCTAACCCTACGGCGTGCTGTTTAAAAGGTTGAGAGATGGAGGAATGCAACCTTTTCATCGAGGGTGTAGAATTTGACGTTTTTTTTTTCGGGATTTCGGCAAATCTGACACAGGGACAAATCGCGCCACAGCTGCCGTTGAACGATACACTCGGCTGTTGCGATATACTCAAGCAGGAATTAAGATTCGATCGCAGCCCTTGCTTTCGGGATTTTTTTTCCTTTTCTAAAAGAACCTTTCAAATCACACAAGGTTGATGCCTCTTTCCTCAAGTCTGCATTTCAGTAAATACCCAAAAGTGTGCAGTGGTGAAAGAAAGCGCAAAGATGACAATAGAAGGCAATTACAATATTATTTTGCAGGAATTTTGGTTAATTAATTGCGTATGCTCTGTTTTAGATGGGTCGTGCGAGGACCTCGATTTCAGGGGGGAGGGGTCGTACTTCTGCGATCACTTCCTCGACACAATTTTCACCCTGCCCTCTGGGACTGTTGCTTCAAAGGAAGCTACGATAATGGGGCAGTGTATCGAAAAAGGATATACGCCACAGTTATGACTGCTAAGGAAGCGAGGTGTGGCGCTTTCACGAAGAAAGGTACGCTGGTAGCTGAGCAGGACTTCGAAAGCATCCGCCTCGAAAGCGACTACTAAGCCCACTAATTCAGTTGTTGAGTTGCAGCTGTGTTGCCAGCAGCTATACAACTGGAGCAACTCGAATGGAGCATGAATTGGCATGGTGTCACTGAACGCTTTGCGGCAAACTCGTCCATACGTCCGCCATCTTAGCCGCTGCTTGTTTTTTAGCGAAAATCTACTACCAAAAAGGGGGTCAACTTCCTGCGTTTTCTTGATGGATTTCTCTTTCTGGATTTTTCTTTGCCATTGGCGTACCATTGAGCCTCACGTTCCCTGTGGACCCCTATGTAACCTATCGTAATCGCTGCCTTTGGAGCAATCCGAAAAGCTCATCAGCTCAATTGCATGCTGCCTTACTTGACTAAGGCTTCAATTTCCAGAACCTATTTCACTGCACATTTTTTACAACAAGTACGCGTTGGGGTCTTATGAATAGATTAAAGTTCTAATAGAAGATTAGCGATGGTACGCTTCATGAGGCTGTTGAACAGTTTTGAGGTTTTTTGTGAAAGTCGCGAAGGGCTCAGCCGCTATTTGACAGAACACTTCCGATTCGGCAAGGTGACAATACTGGAACATCCCTATAAAATCAGGAAGCTTTGGAAGTGTGCTCTCTGAGTTCCTCATTCGTTAGGCCAACATCACCCTCAAAAACGGTTCGACATCGCTATAGGGTATCGGGTTTATGCATTGATCAATTCTACAGTAATGTAAGTCTAGCTCTAAGGACCAGGGTATCCTGCTAGCCAAAATTTAACGTCGTCCATGTCATGTATTTTAAGTTTTTTTTGTGGAGTACAAGAGGAGTTGTGCTCTCGGAACTCCTGGCTTAAGCTGGCACGCGGAGATCCGGAGCAGCAGCAGCCGTACTCTGGCTGGACAGCATGTGAACTATGCTATCACGTATGGGTCAAATGTAAAAGGTCCGTAAAGGTGATTGCTCTCAATGTATGTGAGACAAGTAAACTCATTCAAACGGCCACTCATCGGAGTTCCCCATTGCATTGATCTGAGCCGAAAAAATTGAAGTAAACAGTGTGGATTACAGTGTAGGGTTTTTTCAGCCGCGCAACTATCCCTCCTAATAATTACATTTATGGAGTAATGCATAGCATTAACACCTTCGCGCTGGCGCAGCCCATCGCCTGCCAAAGAAGGGTGCTTATGGAAAGATGGCAGCCCATGTGGGTTAGCACCTAAATGACTCCCAGTGCTCTGAGCGCCCTGCTGAGGTCGACGGGCAACATATGAAAGCTGTGGGAGGATTGCGGCCTAACACGCAATGGGATGGATGAAAACAATGGTCACGATTGCGCGTCCTTCTAAGTCAATTGCTCCTTCATGAAAGCCTTCACTTTTTCATTCAACTTGGAAGACTGTATGCAATGACGCTGATGGCTAATTAGCGAAGAAGATGATGATATCTGTCGCGAGCGAGGGACTGAGACTCTGATGTTGTGCTCCATTTACCAGGTTCGACGCCCCAGTGACAAACGCTCAAGTCATCAAAACCGCAGCGCACTTTGCCAACCACTTTGTCGCGTGTCTGTTGACTGAGCCGTTTCGATTGGGCGACGGGCTTTTGACTCGTCCAGCCTGGCACGCGACAAAATTGCGCGGCGTTCTGGACGCTTCGCGGGAATCTTACACGTCCAGGCATGAGCAGATTGCGGATAAGATCCGCAACTTATGCGATTCGAAATACATTCCTACGCGTGGAATTTTGGGGATGGCGGTGATGGCAAGGAAACCTCAGTAGGAAGAGATAAGAAAGAACTAACATAGTGCTGTTATGGCGATCAGGGCGCTAATGTCGTTGGGGTGGGGGAGGGGGAGGAGGGAGGATGTTCCATGCGGAGGGAGCGAGTGAGCCAATCTTTGTGTTTGGGACTGAGCCTTAGGGAGGCACACTGGGGGAGGCAATTTGTGTCTTTGACGTTTTTCCCTCTCCTGAGCTTAGTCCTAGTGTCACATGCCATCGGCCTGTGCCTGTTTTGAATGTTACCGATAAGGACATGAGCACCTTAATCTGCAAATCTCATATAGTTGACATTAAATAACGATCTCAGCAAAAACTGCTAATAGTGCTTCTTCGCTCTGATGATACTAGCGACATTTGCATGAAGGGCCCCTCATCTACTTGGCTGAAATCTTTTTGGTTTTTCGAGCCGCATAATCATGCGAAGTTTATCCACGATCTATGTATACACGTTTTGACGCATCCAATTCTATTGCAGAACCAGCGAAGCCTTGTCACATCCGGATTGCCGCGCAATCCGCCGCGCCACTCGCCGCGTGCCAGCCCAGACTAGCCAAAATTCCATCAAAAGCGAGAAGAACTTGGAACTTGCGAAATAGAGAACCCGTTTCGATTGCTGCAAAAGTTATCGAGAACTTCCGTCTATCGGATTGGGTGACGGCAGTGGGTAGCTTTCCTAATCCGGCTCGTGTAGAAGGTTTCTCGATCTTGCACGCCTTCGAATGGTGCCATAAACCTCTGTCTTCGTTCTTTTAAAATCGGGACTTTGCTGGAAGTGACGTGCTGAAACGCATTTTCTGTGCAACTCAATAAGTCTTGAGGCGGGAAAACGGCTTCACCATCATAAGAGACTACTTCATTTGAATGATTTATGACAGCAGAGAAGTCGAAAAGTGCAGCTGCATACAAAATCAGCAAGTGCAAGAATTTGGAATTGATGAGTTTCGTGAGCGCTGGCGGTTCCGTAATTTTTGCTCACTTTGTATCACAATCACTTGAAAGTTACGATACATACAGGGTGAGGCATAGTCATGGTGACAAAATTGTGAAGAAGCGCAGTAACAAAACAATGAGCGGGGCCCTTGAGCGCATTGGTAAATGGTGTCACCCCATGCAATCCTTGCCCTACACGTCGCCGATCATACTCCTTACCTGCCGAAATACTCTGTATTTGCAGTGTGCATCGTAAGACTGTTCACAGGACTTTTCTGCGAGGCAAACTTGATGATCTTCCTCGTGGAGATGGTCCGGCTTTGATAGCCACTGATCGACAGGTGAAAATAGTTGGAAAACGAATCCATCGCAATCCGCCGAGGAGTTTGAGGAAGATGGCTAGGGATTCGGAAGTTCCAAGTCGAACGATGAGAAGAGTAGTGCCTAATAGATTTGGGGCGCTGTTGGGAGTTCAGATAAGAAGGCCCTCCCGGATGCTCAGAAGAGAAGTCGAGTGGAAAAATGCGAAAGGCTCTTGCAGAGGACCGCAAACGGTGTGCATTTGAGGACCCTCTCCCCAATGAACAAGCTTCTACGATTGAGCAGTATTCAACGGACAAAACTTGCGTACTCCCTAGCACATCCAAAGAAGCTGACAAAGCCTGACACTGGAAGTTCAAGTCCTGCATCGGTGATGATTTTTGCAGGGGTATACGCAAATTTGCGTACTCCATTGGTTTTTATGAGAAATTTTTTTGTTTTGCTGAATACTCTTTTAAGAGTCGTGGTCAACTGTAGGGTGGTTCCAAGACAATTTCGTAGACTTCATAGTAGTAGAAGACTGGCCCATTAATTCCTCCGATTTGAGCGAAGTGGATTACTCAATTTGGTTGATCTTCGATCATGTAGAAGGCTTGCGCTAACAAACACTATTCGACTAGATTGTTGAAAGCTGCTCTAAGAAAAGCATGGGATGAAATTTCACAGGATGTCATCCTGGCAGCAGTCGAAGCGTATTTTGCGCGTTAGAAGGAATTTATCAAGTTCAAACGAGGCCATACTGAATGGTATTGTAATTTCTTGTTAGATGATATATACTCTACCCTTCAAAAAGCGAGAAAGTGTTGGGTGCAGACCATACACCACAACTGACGACGGCCGCGACAAAGTATAACAACCAAGGAAATTTATTGGTTGCAGTTGTATTCTTTCAGCTGTATGCGTAATTTTCCTTCTCTCGTCATCATTTTATTCAGGTGAGTTATTTGTAACAACAAAACTCGACATGATACATTAAATTTGTGAAACTCGCCACGACAGCATTCGATGGTAGCAGAAAAATCGTTGACAACGCCTGAAAAGAATGTTTACTGTTGTTGCAAATAGCTCACCTGAATAAAATGATGACGAGTGAAGTAAATTAGACCGATAGCTAAAAGAATACAACTGTAACCAATAAATTCCTTGTCTTTTGTCAACTGCCGCTTTCTCGCGGCCGTCGTCAGTTGTGTGTATGTGTGCACCCGAACGCTTCCTCGTTTCTTGAAGGGGGATATATATATTATATATATATATAATATATTATATCAAATCAAATTTCGATCGAAACTATTGAAATAGAGCAAACTCATTCTGTCACCACATTTATGCCTAACTCTTTACTATCTTGCAGCTTCCAAATATAATTAGAGTTCTTACGTGTAAGTTCTTCAGCCTATTTAGTGAAGCCCTTCGCTCCATTCTGCCAAGCTTCCTCGCCATATTTTACCCTTTACAACTACTATTCTCGTTACTGTTTGCAGTGTAGCTTTCCTGGACAGGCTGCGGTTTTTCAATTGATTGAAGTCTTTCTTTTTTTGCCATCAAGATATCTCTTACGTTTAGGTAATTCTTCACCCGAGTCCAACGCCTCTGTATCATCGCGAACCCGATCCCAGAACAATCTTGAATCAAGCTGAACTCGAGGATCACCGTTCTCCCTATCTACCATGCACAATTAACAGCGTTACAAGATCAGATTCTGAAGATTCTAGCAGCGCTGAATCGGTACTAGAGATGACTCGATTATGAAAGAAAATCATGCAGGGTGTTTTTTTCTGGTTGTTGTGTGGCAATGCGTGTAATAATTGTTGAAACATTCAGTATTACTTTTTCGCCAAGCAAATGTGACGCCAAAAGTAGTATAAGATAGCGAAGCATTTCCTATTGTATTTCCTATTATTTAGCTTGACAGGTTATCGACTAGAAGACGGGAATATCATTGGGGTAGACTTTTATTTGCGACTGTATTATATCCTTGTTATTTCGCGAAATTGCTTACTCTTTTACTCAGCAGTTCTGCTGATCAGTTGATCTTTTCTTACCAAATGTGAATTATTTTTGAGTGATGTAATTTCTCTTTTAGAGTTTATATATGTTTGCCTTTCTCCACTAAGCGTTTCCTATAGTGAATTTGAAGTCACCTGCGCAGATGAGCTAGCTAGAAAGTGTTAGAAACTTTCTACTCGATGAACAATTGCTTTCGTCCGGGTAGCAATGATTAGATCACATAGTCACATCAGAGTTGAAGCTATTTCTGTCCGCTAGAGCTAATCTTATTCAGAATTAGAATCATTTTTTTACATTTGCATGACATTTATTTGAAGGCAGCCCTTGTTTTGGGCTTTTTGTGGCTTCTTGCGCTGGGCTTTAAAGTAGAGTCTTTATTTGTTTAGTGTGGTTTGGTTTCCTAGCTTTTCGCTCGCTTCCTGACATCCTGACATTGCCATTATGCATCCATTATGCATCTAAAAACAGCAGTCGCTGCTCTCACGCCTCCTTTTACAGTGCGTACCCGAAGTCTCTGGACACGCTGAAATGGATTTTTAGGTGTCAACTAATGGTATTTTCGCTTATCACGTTATCACCTGCTATCACGGAATTTTTTTCCGAAATATGATTTATGGATGTTATTCTGTGCCCAGTGATAAGGAGTTTATGTATGAGGGTTATTTGGCGTTCTGTTCACGAATGTGACACTCGGTTTTTTTTAGAATAAAATGAAGCGGTTCAATGCTCATTATGAAACTTGGACGAAGTACTCGATTCACACGCTATGTGGAAGGTTGCAACACAAAGGAGAAGAAAAAGGAAAAGTCACATTCACTAGAAGCCCACAAATCAGCATTTGCACGGGCGAGTGGGTGATTTAAAAAAGGAAGCTTGAGAATAGTTTTGGCAGCTGAGAGAGATAATTGTTTATTCTTTATCTCACAACTCCGCCGAATTTCGCACTTGAAGTTTTTTCCATTTAAATTTCAATGGATTCCTTCTCATAACAAAAGGCCAACTAAACGTATAGGAAACATGTGAGACTCCAAATATTTGTTACAAAAGACTTTACAAAGAAATTGCAAAGGTAGGTGAGTGCAAAAGTCTTGCAAAAAATCAGGTCTTTTTGGCGAGCCTACGACGCTCTAGCGCCTTTGTCAGGTTTGAAATGATTAAGTCGAAGCTTTTGAAGTCTATTAATATATTAAACCAATTAATCGACTCACCTGCTGCCCACTGGCAAAGTGTCACACTTACCGCCCTGTGTTTGTGAAGCAAGAACTATTCCCTACCTTGGTCTTACCCTTAAATAGCGTGGACGTGCTATGACCATTTTTCCCACAATATCGCATTCATTCCACAGTGATGATAATTGCAGTCGTGCGATGAGTTGGAGAGGGTTAGGTAACTCGTCTCTGCTATTTGTTTAGTAGTTTTATTTCCAATGCTTCTAGTATTTTACGTTCCCTGTATTTTTGTAGAGCCCTCCGATGTTTATCAAGTCGTTAGAGAGAGGTCTTCTTGTTTCTCCAACGGTAGCGGTCAAAAGTTTGGGATCTTCTTTATTTTTGATTGGAGTAGCCGATAGACAATGAAATTGCCCCGAATGTGAATATTATCTTCAGAATCAAGTGCAGATCACGATGGGCAACGTAATTTTTCAAAAACTAAAATCGCACTTGAAAAACACGAATTTTTATAAGAAATGGCGCGTCAAAAGTTTGGAAACTTCCAAATTCCAAAGCTAATTCGGCGAAATAGCTCTCAAATCTACATGATAAATTAGTTAATGGATGAGTAGCTTTGAATTCCTAGGTTAGCGTCGTTTTTGTTGACATGGAGTTGATTATAAAATAATTTTAGGGGTTTAGGTCGGCCCCTACACACTGTGATCTACATCGCATTGTTTGCTAGGACTCACAACTGGAATGTGGGTTGAACAACATGCCAGTTCTTCCGTGGGATGTAAAGCTCAATTACACTACAGATCTTGACTTGGTAGCTCCATAGCAGCTTCTTTTTCTGCGTTCAGGAAGATGGCAGTGAGAAGGTACTAGGCCTGCATTGGGTCATATCCGCGACAAAAAAACCCATCTTTTCCGGCTAGTTCTAACTATCGAAGGGGAGCATTGTATTCTACGGACTATACTTGTACTTAGCCCAACCCACATTTCGCTGGATACCTAGAACTGGGGAATCGCCGAGTGGCTGGACACACCTTCATCCATGGCAATACTTCCGCTATTTCTGACTGTTGGAATCACGTACTCAAAATGAGGTTCCAAGGAAAAAACCAGAAAAAGTTGTTTCGGTTGGGAATATCGGGGGCATGGGACGTGCCCACAACCTTTCAAGTATTTGAGGAGGGCCAATTTTTTTTTGTTGAGATCTGTTTTGCGAATGGTCATTCTTCTTATGCTTACTCGACTCCAATAACGCTAGAAACATTCGATAATAGACTGAAATGCTAAGAAATAGTTTCAATGACGTATTCCGGATTGTAGGGTTTGAAAAAGGACCTTCCATGGAAAACTGCTTTCTTTGCACATGAATTCATTTTAAAATTACACATTGCTTAATGGTTTAACTAAAATTAACAGAAACAAGTGAGCTTCGAAGAGTAGGTATCATAATGATAAGGGAAGCAAAAAGGTTCCAAACTTTTGACGCGCCATTACTTGAAAAAAATCTTATTTCTTAAGCATGATTAGAGGTTTTTGGGAATTGTTCTTCCCGTCGTATTCAGAACTTGATTTTGTGTGAAATGAATTTGGTACAATTTCGTTGTCTGTCGGCCGCGCCAGATCGAAAATAAAAAAGTTTCCAACCTTTTGGCCGCTAGTGTACTTATGCCCACATTCTTGATATTCTATTGCATAGACTGTACCCCTCAGTTGGCATATTTTGTCTTTCTGCAGTAAATCCAGCCATTCCTACCACGTTTGTCCTCGTGAGGCCTGGAGTATGTAAGCAGTCGCTTCAAATTTGGAGGTGGATGGAATATAAATTGTATTAGGGGCGAGGAATTCCTTGCGATATTATTGACCTTCTATGCCGTTTTTTCGTTAACATACGACATTTTCATGGGGATCCCATCAGTTGTTTAATACGGTCTTCATGACTGCAAGTTCGCATTGGAATTATTCGTTTTCTCTCAAAATACCTTCCACCATTGAATATACTTCACTTGAAGGTTGACTGCAGACTTTATCCTTGGTTGAAATTAGGTTACGGACGACTCTGGCCTTCATGTAGATGGGGTGGAAACTTCTAGCGTGTAAAAGTATGTTCCTCGATGCAGGTTTCTTGTACCATTGAAGTTCTTTCTCTCCTTCATTTCAACGGTATTGAGAAAAGAAACAAATCCTTCCTCATTTGGCTCCTCGACCGTGAATTCAATGTCGGGATTCTGTGAATTGAGGTTTCTTAAGCCGAATTCACGCGGAGGCCAACAATTTCTGCAAATTTTGCTTTGCATTCTGGGAACAGCACTGAAGGCTTCACGCTCTCTGAATTCCGAAATTATGGCCGCATGATAAGGAAAACATTGATTGAGAAGTCGTGCCTGGAGATGGAAATTTCTTCCAAGCGTAATCTCTCAATGGACGTTTGGTGTGTGTGAAAGAGCTTCAAGCTCAAACCTAAGTGACCTCGGAAAACATCATCCATGGCAAGGAATCATAGCGAGAACCAAACCGATTTTGCCTCGAGATGTTTCCCTTTATTGGAGAATGTACAAAAGTGGGAGCAATTAATCAGTGAATGCAATAGCGCATACAGATATCGAAGAAACAGTGAGGATACCAATTATTTGCATCAAACGAACACCCAGCTGGAAAAGAAGTGATATTATGGCAATCTCACTTGGCAAGTATAAGATTGAGCAGCATGGCGAAGACGACTTTTATGTAAAGTGAGTGTCGGTCTTTGTATGAGCCGGCGATTTGGTCGAAAGCCCTGTAGTCTCTGGCTTCTATCAAAGAGCCGCGAATGAAGAACCGAAATGAAGGCTTAAGATTACCAGTGACTTTCTGCCTCTTGCATCACAGCGTAATTTATAAAAATGGGCTACTTGTTTATGACAGTGTCCTCTAACCCTTGCGTCAGCGCTATCCCGTTGTCTGGTGGCATGGTGCTGTGGAGAAGGCGGTCATATGGCCTGACCACATTGGCACTGGAGGTACAGGCCTAACTGCCACATCCTGTGGTGGTCGGTGAACTCATGCGCATCACTCAAATGCTGAACTTCGCAATTTTCGCGAATTTTTAAGTTGGACGCAGAAATCTCGTTTAATCAAGGATTCAAAGGAGCGCAAAGCTTGTTGTGGCCTGATACCAAGGCAACAATCACGATAGAATATGGTGCACCGACGAGTTATCCGGTCACGACGATGTGGCACTTACGGCCTGTGTGCTCCAATCAGGGTCAACCCTGCATTGCGCAAAGAACAACGAGGGGTCGTATCCACAGATTGGCTGCAAGACGGCTTGAAAAGTGCAGTGTCCGGGAGTGCACTTTCAGCCTCTAATGTTCTCCAGGAGCTCTGCACGCTGTCGGAGAGTCACACAGACATGAGCTCCATGGGAGCATTAAAGCATGCAGAGCACTATAAGTCTCACCACCAGCTTATTATGCTTGAGCGACGCTATCCGGACGGCGCTTTTGCTCTGCGGCATAGATCAAGAGTACAATAGACAATAGCCAAAAACTTTGTTGCAAAAACATGGTCTGTCTTCGATGATGAAACATTCCTGGAATCCAGAGGAGAACAAAGTGTAGAGCAGTTCATGGGAAAGTGAAACAAGAGTGCTATATAACAGCACAATACAACTCAATCAGGATACTAACACCTTCTTCTGGAAAACAGAAGAAATCGAATGCGAGTGCCAAAATGCCCACAGATAGGTGCACGGCGTATACCCGAAGCGTTTTTCCATAAAAACGCCTCCTCTGTCAGCGGCCGTAAGCAGACAAACTTTCTGAAGAGAGTTTCGATTCTTTCAAATAAATAATTTCTTCTAAGCGAAACAAAGTGTAGCGGATTTGCTGAATTGAGTTCTAGAGACGACGTAGGAAAATTGAGGCAGAAGAAAGAATTTCAGGAAAATTTCACAGTCGTTATGAAGTACTCTCCGAGTGGATTCCAACAATCTTTACCGCTTCTCATCACATTGATTTTAAAGGAAGTTATGGGCCTTTGAAGATAGTCGCGGTCCAGGAAAATGGCTTGAAAAAAATCAAGGTGGAATAAACGGAACAATGGGATTTTTTTTGAGCAAGTGATTATTTCGAGACGTTTTAGCACTTTTTCGAAAGCTCTAGTCGTCTAGTTTCTAATTAGCCTTAGACATCTGCAAAATGCTGAATATGAAGAAAGTTATTAACGTTTAAATGTCGGAAACTCGCGACCCCAGACCACCCAAGAACGGAACAACGGGACTATTTTTTGAAAATATGATCGCTGGAAAATTTTCGGGTGCTTGTTCGGAAGCTCTAATGTTCTAGTTTCTACTTAGCCTTGGACATTTGCAAAAAGTTGATTATGAAGAAAGTTATGAATGTTTGAATGTCAAAAACTCGCATGTGCACAGAAAACGGAACAACGGGACGATTTTTCGAAATATTGAACATCCACAACATTTCAAATACTCCTCAGGAAGAAAACTATTTATATTTTTGAAATTTTGGTGTCCGATTTCACGAAACAGCTTCTGAAAGAAAATATGACCTTCCGAATGGAGGGGTTTGGACTGCAATGTAATTGCTACAAGGTTTAGTTTTTCAGATTATAAGGTAAGGAAAGTTGAGAGATCGAAAAAATCCTGGTGGGTTTCTGAAAGTAGAAATCTTTACGATTAAAATGATGTACTGGTTTACGCAAAAATTTGGAAATTCCTTCTATTTAATGAATAAAACTTCATTTGCCCCGATTCCCTCCTCTGAGCGAGACAGAGCGCGCGGATTGACCACGGTCCACCACTTCTCCATGTTGGTGACCGCCATCATTGATGAGCATTGATGAGCATTGAATTATGTGAAAGACATGATAGTTGACTGTCGTGAAAATTTTGGAATTTGCGCAACAGGGTTGACCCTGGCTCCAATGGTCCATTGGATTGCGCTACATGACGCACACCTTCCTTTGGTGATTGCGTGCAGAGCTCACACTTTATTGTCTACCACTTTCGAACGAGAAACGAATGAGCCCGCAGACGGAGTTCTCAGTAACCTCGAGCTCAATCTGAGATCAGGTTTGGACTTTGCTGGATTACAACTAGGTGACATGAGCTCGTCCTCAATCACCTCGGAGAAAAGGTCATCTGAAGAACATCATTGCTCATAGCAACATCGTGAGTTTAGACCACCACTGCTACCCCCTGGCTTATCACACTAATCATCACTTTTTCACAACCAAAATCGGCTTCGACTCCTGCGTTGAAAACTGCACTGTTGTAAAAGTGTGGAAGTAAGGCAGAAGAAAGATTCCAGTTCCTCTTTTTATTGTTTATTACTCCAACAAGTTGCTTATCTACTGATGAAAAACCTTATCAGCTGTTTCTTCGTGTTGTCTGACACACAGAAGAGCTCACGATTTAGTTCCCCTATCGATCTACTACTATTGAGAAATGTTGTTGCAGCTTTTTCAAAGCCTTTCGTCGTGGTGTATTCACAAAAATTATTAGCGTTGAAACATTGTGTAGTATTCCTCGTGCCCGACCTGCATTGCCTACCAATTCATATCGTACGAGGGAAGGTCATTGGTCGTTTGGTAGTTCTGAGATGTATACGTGCTCTGTGTTTCAGAAGATCAGCAGCGCGTCGAGCGCAGACCACAAACCACAAGTGACGACGGCCTCAATGTAAATCTGGTAACTAGTGGTTAATAGTGATAGCGATAGGTGATGATCGATAGCTGCAATTAGTGACATTTGATAGAATTCAACTGCAAGTGGCTAATCATGTGGCAGGAAATATTCAAAAAATTCTGTGGGTGCGGTAGCGGTCTGGTCTGCACTCAACGCGCGTCTACTTTCGTGAAACAAGTATATACAAAGAGGGCAAAAATTACGGTAACAAAATAAGTTGGTCATAAAAAAGCAATGTGGCCTTAAATAAACAATACCATCATATTGGTGAAAAGTTACCAAATGGGATACATACAATATCGCCTTTGAAGTGACCACCTTCCGGTAATAAATGAACGAAAACTTCCTAGAAAGTCAACTACCCTGTTATGTAGGTAGTGTTGTCGAGTAGGTACAAGGTCTCAAGAGCGACTGCTCAACTGGTCAATGTTCTTGTTGTGCTTGTAGCAATGCTTTGCCTTCGGTTCACTCACAGGATTGAATTGGGAGAACTGTGTTGCCACTTCTCTAATGATGATGAGTTCCACGGTATACTGTTTGCATAGATTTTCCGACACCTATTCGTTGTGGCTATCCAGTCTTGCTGTAAGGTTCTGCCTTTTCTCGTGAGGGTCCTTTCGCTTTGGAGCATCAACTGAGACAGTGTAAGTTCGAGATGAATTTTGTTGTGTAGTTTTATATCTTGAGAAACAGAATTTCGAGTACCATTACCGAATAGGTGGTCAGCCTTATGCTAGCATTGGTCCAGTTGCCCTTCTTATTCAAGACTGGCTCGACAGAAGGATACCTTTCGATCAAAGAAAGCGGTCGATAAGCTCATTACGGAATCGAGACAATGACTCTTAACATCTTTGCTTTCCATGGTTGCAAGAAAGTGCGCCGTACGGCAGTTTCATCGACCAAACGACGGATTGAACGAGCTGACTTCCAGCGTTTCTTCGCACGTATCTTCGAGATATTACTTTTGAAGTCACACGAGCAATCCTCACATGCCATTTACAGGGATTTGAAAGATGGTCCATTCGTGAGTTGATTTATGTCATGTGACGAAAAAAAAACGGAGCACTGAATTCTCACTATGAACATAGAATGTACATAAAAGACTCCAGACGTTTAAAACTAAAAATTGACAGCGGCAAACCCTTGCTACCGTAATTCTTGCCCAACCGGTACATGTACGTGCATACGCTCAAGTTTGGCTTGTGGCTAGAAATCTCTTGTAAAAGCAATAGAACAGACACACATTGGTGTCGATTCCATCTCTTTTTTGGATTTCCGAACTTACCAATGACCATCCTTGATCATATGTCCCTAATCCGCTGTTGCTCAATTGTGAGTCCTGGTAAAACATTCATTAGGAATTATAAGGTATGTAGACAGTTTATCTCATATGCCCAAATACACACACAAGCTCCACATGGTTTATCTAGTTATACTTGGATTTACAAAGTATTCAATATTGTGGATTTCAATAAAGTTTCAATAGAATTCAAACATTGTAATTTTTTTTGCGAGCAAATTAACTTTATATGACGACGTGTTCAAATGATCCCTTTTCACAAACAATTCGTATTCAGAGTGCGATTCCAACTGAGCGAGACATGGAAAACATGGAACGCCTTCTTAAAAAATTGTCGGAAATTTTCGAGGCGGATCCCAGTGAGCCGCGACAAGTATAGTTGGTGATATTTTCCTATTCACACTGCTCGCATTCATGATAATTTGAATTTTTTATAACGCGAAGACGGGGGAGGGGGATAGCGGGTTTTGCTCCAACTAAAACCTCGAAAAACCTGACAAAGAAAATTGAAATCTTGACTTAGATCCGAAAAAGATAGTTCGTGGGTACTTCCAGCCGGTGAACTATAAAAACAAGTTCGGGTTATCTTTCTCAAATATTGAGAATACTACGTAGTATCCTTTGCCGTGTGAATCCGAATGATGCTGACTACGCTCATGAAAACTCCACACATACTTAAAGCAACAGTCCAGGCAGGGTTTCAACTACTTGGTCATTAGGCGGTCAAAACATGCCCCAGCCCAACTAAAGTTTATAGGAAATGTCTTTGATTTCAAAACCTACCTCTAAAATGCGCTGGAATGGGTCGAAGTCCTCTTGGAGGGGACGGATCACCCGATTAAAAGAGGCGGATCGCCCCATACGCTGTGCAGAGTCCGCGCTTGACTGGCAATCGTTGCGGGACCGCCGCGCTGTATGAGGTAGATTCCATGAGAACGCAATTGAAGCGCTTCAATTTCGATTGCTGGCAAGTAGTTATGTATTTACAAGCATGCATGGCTATTTGCCAGCAGTCAACTGGAGCGCATGTACTACGGGCAGGTTCGGACAACTCGTCCAACACACGTCTCCCTAAACGGCAGGGCATGTCCCTGTCTAAGCCCCGGTTGGGCGTTTTCTTCACTTTTTCTCTTTACGTTCGACCACTTTTCACCTAAAACTTCCATATAGGTGCTTTTGGCCCGCAAATTCGTTCCTGGTCTGTTGCTTTAAGAACTGCCACTGACAGTTCTTCAACATTGAGCGAATTTCATGATGTTTTTGGTATCATCTTCAACACTGCCCATCAACATGCAGGTGATCTTCTCTGCAAGTCCAACGTTACTACAAGGCTGTATAAACCGCTATACGAAAAAAATGATAACTTTTTCCGACCCTTTCTTAGCGTTCAGGGTCCGCTCAGCGAAATTTTAGCCTACGTGGGAGCCCCTACAGCATACAAAAGACCAAAAGGCTCTCCACACTCCGAACGACCTCGATTGTGAGACGTAAGGCGCTGGGACCTCGATCTTCAAATTCCCAGAACGACCCCTGCCTGCCCATTCGATCTACCCTGTGTCAAAATGTTGACCTGCTGTGCTCTCTCGACTCCGACTTTTTACTCCTCGCGTCTCACATTACCTCTTATCTTGCTTTCTACTTGGTAGAATTAGACGTAGACTTCGTAGTCGTAGACGTAGACTAGACAACTAATAGAAATGACGGTAGAGGCGGTCAATGACGTGGGGACGAGAAAAGAGAACCTTGAGACCCAAGAAACAGGTTCACTTTGTGACCGTTGATTTGCTTGGCTAGCCTTGTCGGTAGACCTCTAGAACGCTATGCTCTCTCTCTGTGTGTATGTTAAAACGGTCAGGGCCAGACGGAAAGAGGGTGGGCGTGCCGCAACGGGAGCGGCACGGGAACGACCCTGCCAGGGCTGCTGTTGTCCTTACAAATTTATTGTTGAAATTAGTAAAGGAAATCGCAAATGGTGTGGTTCATGTGGAACTGTCGAAGCGACTCGCCTTAGTTTTACACAACCCTTCCAAATCTACATTACAAAGTGCACGGTGCGTAACTTGTTCACGTCAATCTTGGTTCACTACAGTCATTTCCGTTAAATTCAAAGATGTGTGTTTCATGTTCCAATTTTTAATGTTCTTCTTTCATGTATTTCATGAGAATCACCACTTCGAGTCTACTGGAGAGCTTCCTTGTCCAATGCTGAGTAGATTCCTACGCGCTGTCAGGCGTACCCACCTGAAGGAACTTAGGTTTTTGGTGCATAAATCCACCGCTAGTTTCGAGCTAATCTTCATGACCTCTTCTTGCATGGAGACGGGGTAATCATGGCTGCCTCCATTTTTTCGGGTTCGTGTGAATCCTATAATTCCTCTGGAATAATGCGAAGCTTACGTGTGCCCTTACGAATTGAGATACGTTTTTGATGCGAGCCGAATTGGTGTTAAGCTGAAAGCAAACCTCGAGCAAAATGCGAAAAGTGCATCGTGAGAATTCACGTCACGAAACAATTTTTCTTCTTTTTTAGGAATTCATAAAAGCGCTCAAGGAGGAATCTTATTTCTTGGTTCCATGCGGTGCTCCTATTATACGCGAAGAACCCCTTTTGAAAAAAAAAGCGCTCCACGTCCTGAATGACCTTGTGGACGCTCGGGCGCTCACTGGTGTTAGCCCTGCACAGATACAGATCAGCATGAAAAACCAAACAGTTACACAACAAGACTTTAACTTAATATCTTTGCACATTGAGTGGGATAATTAATAATCCGTAAGTTCTAAAGATGTTCTTCGATTCCTAGCGAAGTGATAAGGCATCATTGCAGTTATGGTATAGCAAACAGTAAATACCGACAAGCACTAATGGAAGTGTTTTTGGAGAGAAAAGAGTACATACGTGAGTGCTTAAAACATTTTCATGAAAGGAAATGGAGAAAGCTGAAAAGGAATGTCATAACACCTGGAAGTTTTCTAATCTGTGGTGGTGTAGAGAAAGAGAGGCTGAACTACATTTTTGCGTTTGATTAGGCGGATAGGTAGTTATTGCGGAGTTCCAAGGGATCATGGACTACCGAACACGATATTGCCGACTTCTAGCATTTGGTTTTTCGGACGTAAGGATTCCTCAAGTTTCGACTTTTCCAACGACGTGTTATCTTCAGTCGGCTTTAGTCGTTACTGATACTGCCACTACTACTTGTTATACAGTGCGTTTCATAATTATAAGCTCACCCTAAAATTTTGCATTTTCAGAGTGAGCAGTTACTAAGGAATTTTTCTAGCAATATCAGCGGATTCCCCAGCACGAACAACCCCCGGGTCCAAATTTTAGGAGCAGCACCATTTCTCTGAACTTTTTTTATAATATTTTTCTCGTTTTTGCACCGTTTCATAATTATAAGCTCACCCTGAGAAAACGACAATATCTTATGAGGATCGACAGGTGCTTACAGAAGCGAACATCTGTCAGTAACAAATTTTTGCAGTTCATTTTTGCTATTTTTCCGTGGTGGTCTTTGAAGAAGGAGCAAGATTTAGGCATTTCGGCGTGCTGCGCTCGACGTCAAAGTGGTCGAAAAGTATTGGAAAAGTTTTCGCTCATTCCAAGGATGTTTGTAGTGCTACCATGTATCCACGTGTTCTACTACTTTCACGCATCGCGTGCATTTACTAGCAGCGATTCGAGACGATTTTGGAAAGCAGTCCCAAACAGTACCCCTTGTGGATCTAGATTCGCTCGTAATTAAAAACCTCTATTTCGAAAAATAATGTCCAGAGAGCAGTGAGAAGAAGCAAAAACATTGCGAGGAAGGCGGTGAAGATTGTCTCGAGGCCACTGGCTACGACAGAAATGCACGACTCCAATTCTCAAAATTGAAATTAGATGAGGATTCGGTAGAGGTAGGCCTTCGTCACGATGACACCATACACCTTAATAGTCTCATTAAGATTGGTTTTTTTTTCGTATATGAAAAAGGTTGGTATGAGCAGTTCCAACGAAAACAAGCGCTTTCAGAGCAGCTATCGAAGGTAGACCGTTTGGTTTGGTGCTCGTAATTCCGGTGGCGGAATTGTAAAGGTCTGGGTTGCTCTCTGTAATGATGCTATGATGTAACTTTTTTGAGGACCTGCAAACGGACTCCACAGATTACCTAAGTCTATCAGCAATATCTACTGCCTTTTTCATGCACACTAAGTCGTCTAAACCACGTATTTCAACAAGAAGACCTGCCGTGCACTTGAATTTTTGCACGTGAATTCCTCAGCAATAGACTAGCTGTATTCCCAAACCATAAGCGCCCAGCAGTGGCCAGCATGTCCATACGATGGAGTACATCTAGCATCATCGCCAACAAGGCTTATGCAAATAAACGTTGCTTACAAGGTGAAGAAGTTCTGAAACAGGCTACCATCAAAGCTTGAAGTGGAATCGATACAAAAGAGCTCCGAAACCTAGTTGCTAGTAAGTCGCGGTGGTCCTTGGATATCGCCCTTCAACAAAGTGGAGTCATTGATTATAAAATTTCTCATGTGCTTGAGTAACATAAATAATTTGCTCATCTTCTCGGGGTGAGCTTATAATTATGAAACGGTGCAAAAACGAAAAAATCTCATAAAAAGGTTCAGAGAATGGTGCTGCTGCCAAAATTTGGACTCGGGGGTTATTCGTGCTGGGGAATCCGCTGATATTGTTAGAAAAATTTCTAAGTCACTGCTTATTCTGAAAATGCAAAATTCTAGAGCTTATAATTATGAAACGCACTGTATTGGGTTGTCTCATAATTACTGTCGCAATTTCGACACTTTTGTTTATCCAAGTTTTATCTCTTCTAGGAGACAACTGATCAATAACATAAGCACCATCATGGTACTGATATGCGTGCATTTGTTAGTGAGCGTTTGGAAGTTTCCAGCCCGGAATGAAGGAAGCTGGGGGTTGAAGAATTTGGAGAAGTCGTTTTTGGGGTGGACGCAATCTTTAATTTTCTTCTCTGGCAGATGCTCATTCAGGGCGCAGAGGAGGCGGTAGTCCGCTAGAGCGATGCCAATGCTATATGGTGGATGAGGTATTGGGGCCCTGGCTATCGCCCTTGGAACGGTGTGAGTCGGCATTGCAATGTGACGTCTGGCGTACATTCGGAGAAAGGAGAATCTGAGACGTTTCTGACGATTCCCTCGCAACCCCGAAGCCAGCCTAGAGGGCTATCCCGCGCTGACTTCAGCAATGCTTGTCTTCATACATTGAAGTGGTTCCCAAACCAGGCCACCTAGCGCATCCAACAAAACGTGAGCGATGTTCTCAGAAAACGTAGTTTGGGCTTTGGTTGAGCTGGTGCTTCCTTGCTGCGAGGCAGCCAACAGACGTCCATGTGGTGTTGTCGCAGTGGACTCATGACTCATCCCCACTAGTGACCGAATAAGGAAGGTTCTGTTTTTGCCGTCCCAAAATGGATTTTTCCCAGACGGTCAGACGTGCTTCTCGTTCATGGTCGGCCGGACCATAAAGTTTTCATCAAGACTTTATTCTGCAGCAGTTCTTGCCATACAATGGCGTGTGCTGGTGCATCGGCTGCGCTTAGGTATCTGCTACAATACCTTGGTAGCAACGTGCGGAGGCACTTCCAATTTAGGGTGCAAGGGGCGCTCATCAAAAATGACCGCAGGCCCAGTATAAGGTTGAAGTTCATAGCTCGTTTCGTCTTTGCCGTTGTGATTAGACGGCTAGCTCAGTACCCTATCAGTAGCAGAGACCGGGCCAAACAGAGCGTTGGTCTTCTCTGTTGTCCTCCTTGCTAGAGAGTTCATTTGAGGATCGTAAAGCATAATCATTCATTATAGTCACTGACCTATTTTTATTCCCAGTTGATTAACCCATTACGGGCTCGCGTTTTCGAAACCATACTGTTAAAGCTCCTGAAGCGTACTTCCACATACGAACGTATTTTGCAATGAAACGGTCTTATGCGGAAGAAATTTGAAACTGAATAGTAATGCGACAGTAATTATGAGACAACCCAATATTACTCCTTCTTATCTGCTCGCGTGACAACGTGTCTGTACCAGTGGAGCCCTTCTTTGACATACTCCACTCATAGACCACCGTAACGTCAGTGCACGTCATACCGCATTCGAAGCCGACCCGCATTCGCGGCGATTTTGCGCTCCACTGGCCTGTCAGGGAGGCCCAACCACGAACCGGGGTACGCTAGAATTCAGAGAGTCTCCTTACAGAAGGGGCTTATCGGCTACGTATCAGGTGACGCAATGAAAGAATCGGGTCAAAGCGTGCCATTTTGGAAAGCAGACAATTCGATCGATCGAGCAGGATGCAGTAGAAGTGTGAGATGTTAGTGCAATGTCAATAGGAAAGAAAACGTTTCTAGTGAAGGCACTCCAATAACCGTGTGAAAGCATTCTCGTCGCCAGCATTTGTGACAGATGTCCATCGGTTCTTTGAACGCGTAGCAGCCCTTTCGGTTTTTCGAATTTTTTGCCAGATGAAATGCAGTTGTTTTGTTCTTTTTGTTCTTAGTGTGAACAGTAGGTCCCAAGCCAGTAAACTATTGGATAGGAGATATGGAGTCACGATTTTTCCGAGAAGGATTCTTTGGGGGAATCTTTTGCGGAAAAAGCTCCGCCCCCATTACCACAGAAAAACGACCCCTTAGGCCCCTAGTTTCGATAATACTAATCCTGCGCACGAGACAAAATGATCACTCTTTCCGTGGAGGATTCCTTTAAGGTATCGTTCTCTGAGGTAATGAGGATGGAGCTTTTTCCGTGGAAGATTTTTTTAACTGATTGCTCCTCTTTCTTGAGCGTCAGATTCGCTGTCCTATGGATCTTGACACGTTATTTGACCGTGACCGGCTTACAGTAGTTCTCTGGTTGCGTGCTGAGCTTGGCTCCTTGCACAGTGGATTGGCCTCTTGATGGCATTGTGGTCATATGTTGATAACTTCGGGTCGATGAAGCAGATCATTACCACCAAGTTAGGCCAATCCGAAAGAAGTCAACAGTGGCTGTAAGAAAGAAAGATATTACAGGCTCTCAGCTGGATTCGTCTATATACCAAACGCGACCTCCATCGGATCAAATAAGCCAGATGCTGGTGAGCACTCACGGTGTTGATTCACTTTTCATTGAATAACATTTTCTAATTACAACTCTAGAAATATCATGAATATGACCACGGGGAACTGAGTCGCCACAAAACGTCCTTTCGTTTTCTTTGTTTCGCGTTTTGAAGCAGGTGGTCATTACGCGCTGATCACTCGCTAAATTTTCAAAAAATTTTTTCATAAATAAAAGCAAAAAGGATAAAGCATTCGCCGTTGATCAATCCCTTTTTGGGATGCGGCACGCATTCTACTTCCATTTGTACATTAGTAGTGGCATTTGAATGCGTTATGGCCTGTACAATGACTTGCGGGGGCCAGCCGATGTACAAGTCAGTGTTTTTATCCTCCCAGACTGGTCTGGTACCAGTTAACCGACCCCGGAGGGATGGAAGGCTTGGTTGGCCCGGGCAACTCACGACGGATTGATCCCCGGACCGCTCGCGTGATAAGCGCGCCACTTGTCACTACACCACTTCCGCCCTTTTTCATAAATGGGTTTAGTAATTGGTACCGGACAGTGTAACAACAAGATGCCATTTTTTTCAGATGCTGGCAGGAAACTGATGTTTTTTCATTTCTACCAGTGGTTATGCGCTCAATAACGTATAAGGCAGGCCACAACGGAATGTTGCGTTTCAGCCCTCCAAATCCCCGAAATAAACTTCCCTCTTTCCTAATGATTTTAAAAAGTTCAATCATCAGGAGCCGCCTTTTTGCCCCTACCTCTCCCTGCCTTTGAATCGAGTACTTTTCCATAAGATATGATCAAAACGTTCCCTACATACGGCCAAATTTGAGCACAGCAGAAGTTGTGTGGAGGTCACCAGCTCAATCTTAGTCAGCAAACGAAAGAGGCAATAGTTTCCGAGACGAGTTTTATCCCTGCGCTCTTGCAACTCCTTCTTTTCGCAGAACATCTTAATGTGGGTCCTCAAACTGTTTACAAAATGGAAAACTGCCAAAGTTATATACATAGAACAGAAGTCTTGACACTCAGGAAGCCAAAACCACGCTCAAATCGCTTCGTTCCATATTTCCTTCGAGTGCCTTCCTTGATGTGTATGGTGGCCTTTTGAAACCTTTTTTCACAGGAGGTGATGACGGAAAGTGAAGGTGCGATGGTCTCTTGTAAGCTCCCCTTTTTCCTATGCCATTAATACATTTACGAAAGAGTGCAGCGATAAGGTCGTTTACATAGAAAGTGCTCACTAGATTAACTACACGATAAGGCTTATACTGTGTAATAAGGTGATAAATATTTATAGGCCGTGAACTTTTTCCTTACACTTTCAACACTGAATTAATCACGGTGTGCTGGACTCTAACCAGATGTATCTGCCTAAAAAGGAACCAGCATACCGCACAAGATCACTATGTTTCCCAACAGCCTTCCACAAGACGGACATCCGAAGATTTTGTAGGGCGAAAATAATGTGGATGTTCCAGCTCAGATCGCCGTCACACTCGGCGACGGACAAGCGATGGAGCAAGGCGATCGCTCCATCGCTTGTCCGTCACCGATTGCGCAATCGCTTGCAAAGCGCACAAGCGACGGGCAATGGCTCTGCTCGATCGATACCGTAGCCGACTGCATCGATTGTGGGCGGAGTCAATCGCCCGTCGCTTTGCAAGCGCTCTCGGCAGAGCGATCGCGTCGCTCCAGCGCTTGTCCATTGCCGAGTGTGACGGCGGTCTCAGCGAGATGCACAATTTTGTCGCACTGCTAAGCAATCCTTTTGAGCTCTACCCAACTTGGTAATTGTTTTGGCTGAAGCGACGCAAAGTGAAACACTCGAGAATGCCTCTGTTTTTAAGTTCTCTAATCCTTTCGATGAATGTGAGCCTTTTCGCAAAATCAAATTCTCCGCGATATACTATATTATAGTTATAATTTAGCGCCTAATTTGCCATAAAGATCCGATTGATAGCAACACCAGGTAAATATCTTTATTTCATTGCCCATTCTACTGAAACTTCTTTAGTCCTTCGGTCTATATGCAATGCGATTCATTGACGCACCCCAGAAACTCATACACATATCATAGTTTCGAACAGATCTACATGGAACCATAATGGGACTGAGAGGAATCGCTCCTCAATTATCTACTTTACAATAGTTTTCATGTTAATAAGAGACAAGCGACATGTAGGGTGGCTGAAAAGTATAGGACGCCGGGTTTTTGAGTGTAGAAGTCAAGAGTCACTCTTTCAAAAAACCAACTTTACATGTAGATAGAATTCGGCTGTGTGTTTACTACGGCAAAAGATGCTCTAATTTTGACGAGTCTGCTTTGATAGAGGCTTTCTGACGTTCAACGACAGAACCAGCAGTGCGCCGCAGGTAGCCAACGGCGACGTCATCCCACGTCCTCTGTAGCACTAACTTCAGAGCATCCACTGGGCTGTGGAAACCTGAGATCCAGCTCTCTAACATCACCACACAGAGAAGTCCATCGGATAAAAGCCTGTGGGAGAGAGGTTACAAATTCTTGCTCCAGTGGCCGGGGAAGTGCCCATCTAGTAGAACGGCTTTGGTCAAATTGCAAGCATGCTAAGGAAACCGTTATAATTGGGGCGCAAGCGGTCGTTGAGCAGATTGTTCCTGAATCCAGAACAACATAACGTACTTCAACATAGTCTTCTGCAAGAACTTCGACTTAATTTTAACATTTTCTGAATATGAACTTCAATGAAGCTTCACTTTTGGATGTTACACCGTCACAAACAACCATTTCTTCGGGAGAAGGTCCGTTATAAACAAAATCCGATTCGGTGGACTTGCACTCGCTTTTTGCTAACAGCTGCCTCTGATTGTGGCGATCGCAAAGAAGTTTATTTTAAAAAAAATTGTTCTCGTTACCTCAAATCGTAGGAGAGTTGCGGCGCGCCCCGAGCTCGCTCAGAAAGTTTTTGCATTTTACCAGTCGGTTAAATCCGGATTGTTCCAATGAATATTAGAGTAGATACAGCGGTAACCAATCGAAATAGAGTTGCTTCACGAAATCTGTTGATGGGATTGACGGCAGATCCTGAGACCAGAAGCGACGTGATTCATGCTGGCTCCATCGTTGTGAGCGGCCCTTTTTATAGATGATTGTCCTAATCTTGTAAGTATGCGCACTTCACGACCCCCCTCTTGGTGAGATTCCAGGAATTTATACTCGAACCTTGAGAGCGAAGATGTTCCGAAGAGCAGAAGAGGGAATAATAAAGTCGCTCTGCGGAGTCTCAACTTCGCAGACTGTCCTTGGGCAATCTCTTGGTTATGGGTCAGTGCGAGCAAAACATCATAGCAATGGTTCGGAAGAGCTCGGACCAAACAACTTATTTAGCTTCCTACACAGCTCCGAAGCCTACGAAGAGTTTCGAAATATTCTGAAAAAAAAATTTCACGACACAGTGCCAGCAAGCGGTCAAGTCGCGCCCTATGCTTTTCAGCCACTCTGCATATTGGGCATCAGATCTGCTGATGACCTTTTCATAAATGTAGATGTATCTCACAACTCCAGTTAGTTGATTACGGAAACAAAAAGGTGATAACTCCTCAATAATGAGATGTCCTTTTGTGCTTGGGTACACTTCCGAATATTCAGCTTAGTATGAGCTCAAAAAATTTGTATTATTTCCAATAGCGCTCAACTTCTTCTTTCTTAGAATCGCTTCATTGATATTTGTATTTTTATGTAAACCTTGTGCTGTAGACGTTGTTAGCTGGGAACTTTATTAACACGATGACGACAGCGTGACGCGGTAACGCGTCCCACCCAGGTTGTCCCTTTCTCTTGCGATTACGCGACTTATTCCTAAGGTCTTTGCGCTCATTCTATAGGCCATACATACAAAGTAAGACTAATAATATTTGACACGTTGACGACATTGCGACGCGGTGACGCGACGCGTCCCACTGCGCACCTCGTGGGACACTGTGACGCGGTAACGCGCCCCACCCATGCTATCCCTGTTGCTTGCGTTTGCGCGACTTATTCGTAAATTTTTTGTAATCCTTCTATAGGCCTTACGTTATGATACATAAACACATAGCTCACAGAAAGGCCAAATATTATTTAGTTTGACGGAGGTTTTCCAGACCCTACGGATATGTCTGTTCTGTTCATTCCTCATTTTCTTTTCATTAGCGTAGATATGTTGATAAAAAGGAATTAAACCTAATCGTATGGGAAGACATGAGTTTTTACTGAAACACCACGTCCAAATTGATTTTGGAATCACTAGAGGGAAGGTAAGTAAAGTTTGAATTCTCATGGCCTTAACACTTCACTTCGGTCCAACTTCCATTGCTGTAACTCCCGATAGGTTAGACAGATCGAACACTACTGAAAACACTTCACCGCATCTAATAAGTTAACGCCTCCCCTAACGTTTCTGACAAACACAGTTGCAGTAGAACTGAGAATACAGTGCAACTAGGCGCTATTTGGCTCCTGAAGTACTGGCTGAGTAGTTTACTTCTCATACAGTGTTTTCGGTTGCTCTTCCTGAGCGCTTGTCAGAAACGCTAGGGAGAAGATGCGTCCGGGGTCTAGAAAGCATTTCTAATACCTTGAGCCATGGTCGGTCCTTTGGGGAAGACCATCTGGTCGAAACGTCGGGCCACTCGATAAAGCTTCCACTTAACAAACCTTGCAAAAAGCAAAGCATAATTATTACATAGTGTAATCATTTTCATTTCGCGGTTCCAACTTTGACAGATCGCTACTTTGAGCAATCATGTCGGCAGAAATTTCGCTGACGGTAAATCGCGAATCAGAAAGCCTAAGATATTCGCAATGAGATCAGCACCAGGATAACGAGTGCCAGCTCACAGTCCCCTATCAACGACTAGGCGGGCTCACGTGGGTCGTCCGCTGTGCTGCTTAAAAACGAAATTTTTGACAAGGCTCAAGGAATATTGAACTTTGAATGTCAAATTAATAAAACAAACCACTCTTCAGCAGTGGTTCTACGAAAAGTCCGACATATTTCATTCCATTTAAATCCTTTCTTGTTTCAGAAAGCTTTGGATAATCCTGTGTTACCGAATAATGCCGATGATGAACGAGATCAGGAAACCGGAAGGCTGGAAGACTTATATCGGAAGCGAATGGACGATTTGAGGAGTATTTTACACTCTCATCTACATGAATTATGGCAGGTCTGTTGAATCTTATTCTTCTTCGTAGTAAAGGAGGAATTCACGATTAGAATGAAGGTCGAAGAAAGGGAAACTGACCTAGTTGAGGGACCCACAGAGCTCCTGAGGGTGCCAACTGACGCGCAATTCGCATGGAAAAATTTGACCTCGGCGACCTATCATGCCTCAAAGCTGGCGGTTCCGGCGATCTCCGCCCACCGATCGTCTGATCACTCGCCGTAGTTCATACGTGGCGAGTGATTAGATAGCTGAGAGAGCGTAGTGTTGAAGAGGGCACAGCGATGAGAGTCGCAGCAATGCTCGAATCAACGGGCAAGGAAGGAGTACCATTTCTCGGGTTCTGGGCCGTTTCTCATAGTTCTTCCTTCCTTCGTGTGCCACTCACCATCCCTAGGTTAATTTGTAATGGGTTGCTTTTTCATCATGAATTCGTCCTTTAAAGATGAGCAGCTGTTTAATTCAATTAACGAGTGACCTATGATGCAAGTGATCTTCTGATAGGTGATTAGGTGTTTACTGATTCAAGGTATATTGTTAGATAGAAAAAATCAATATAATCAAAACTCATGATCCGCGTGGCAAAGCTAAATCACAAGCAATTTCCTCATTGGCACTCGAATTTCTGCGTCCATCTTCACTTGAGAATTAAAACAATTGACATCCACTTTTCACAGTCTGGTCGCAAACGAGCAGATACATCCCCTCAGAATTGTGCTCTTATCGACACAAGCAAGGATTATTGTGATGTCCACTTCCAGGTGTTTTCTAATCATCGCAGCTCTTTCTGTAAAATGAAACGTAAGGAGTCGTGCAAAAAGGTATTAATTGGAAGTCATAAACGTATGACGTGTGATGAAAGCCACAGAGAAAATCTTATGAGCTCCCCTTGCGACATGTGTCCGCGCATTTTTGTGTAGCATGAAAAATCATCTACAAAAAAGCAATTTAACGATCTTCTCAACACTTCTAGGCTCTTGCAAGTAGTGTGAAAATCAGTCGAGGAAACGGCAACGGCTCGTCGAGGATTTTCGCCTGTTCAGTCACGTTCACTCGCAGAGGCAGGGATAGCCGAGTGGTTAAGAGGTTAGACCTCAGTCTCGCACTCTGAAAAACGCGAGTTCGATCCCTTGCCGGGGTCTAAACGAGGCCTTTGCAAAATTTGCAAAATGCGTGTTAGTACCAGCTCAGCCAGGTTGACAGGCGGCTGATGAGACCCGCCTCAACACAACATGTCTAAAGTGAAAAATGTAATAAGTGATAAAGCTGAGGAGTCACCCGGAAGTGCACGCGAAAACCCCGCCGATGTTCTCTTGCCTCAGTATGCGAGGGCCGTACAGGCAGGACGGCTCGCCAAAGAAGCTAGTTCGAATTGGTGTCTGACGTCAGGATCGTCTAACTGGGATATCCGAGAGGTTGCTATCTGATGAGGCAGTGAATATTCCAATTTCTGTGCCTTCATGGAGAACGCGAGGAATGCGCCTAGGCCGAGAAATCGGGGAAGTGTCAAGCTCTACTACAATGGAGAAGACACCCACGAAACGAAAGAAGGTAACCTACAGCAGCGGAGGGAGACAGACGGAAATCGACTATGTGCTGGTAAGAAGATCAGCCCTCAAAAATGTGAAGGATATCAAAGTTCTGCCCGGCGAAGATCTGGCTCCCCAGCACAGGCCCCTCCTGGCAGACATTGCGATAGACCTTCCCAAGAAGACAAGGGTAAGAACCGAGAGGAGAATCCGGTGGTGGAAGCTGCACCAAGCGGAGAAGGATGACCTCAGGCGAAAGATAATGGAAGTCGGTCTCCCAGATCCTAACGGGCCAATACAGCGAACATGGGGCAGCGCGGCTGATACAATCCTGCGATGTGCCAAGGAGGTCCTGGGCGAGACGGGAGGTGGATTCAGAGGAGACAAGGCAGCGTGGTTCTGGAGCGAGGAGGTCCAGCGAGTCGTGAAGCAGAAGAAGGAAGCATACAGGCGTTGGCAGAAGACCCGGAGACCCGAAGACCTCGCCACGTACAGGAGTTGCAAGAGGCTTGCTAAGGCTGCTGTCGCCAAGGCGAAGAACACGGAAATGGACGCCTTGTACGAGAAGTTGGAGAGCCGAAACGCAGAGAAGTTCGTCTTCAGGCTGGCTAAGGCCCGCCATCGTGCTACTCAAGACATCAGGGTGGTGAAAAGTGTGAAAGGCAGCGATGGTGTCATCCTAAGAAAGCCAGCCGAAGTCAAGAGGAGGTGGGAAGAGTACTTCATGGGGCTTCTAAACGAGGAGTTCCCCCACAGGAACGACTCACGGGCAGAGGCCACAACTGGTCCCATCGCACTCCGGACTAAGGATGAGCTTAGGTGTGCACTTGGGAGGATGAAGGTAGGAAAGGCGGTTGGCCCAGATGGGGTGCCAATCGAGGCATGGAAGGCGCTCGGAGAGTACGGCATAAGGTGGCTCACCAGTTCCTGAACAAGGTAACAGTGGAAGGAAAGATGCCGGATGCATGGAGGACAAGTACCATCGTCCCCATCTTCAAACAGAAGGGCGACGCGATGGACTGCTCCAATTACCGCGGCATCAAGTTGACCTCGCATACCATGAAGTTGTACGAGCGGCTGGTCGATAAGAAGCTGCGGGAGCTGGTCCCGATCTCCCAGGAACAGTTCGGGTTCATGCCGCGAAGACACGACAACGATTGCATCTTCATCGCAAGGCAAGTGATGGAGAAGTATCGAGAAAAACGCCGACCCTGCTACCTAGCCTTCCTCGACCTGGAGAAGGCGTTCGACCGGCTACGCGAGCAGTGCTGTGGAGGTCGCTCAGGGAACGAAACGCTGCAGAACACCTGACCTCTCGGTGAAGGACATGTACGAAGGAGCCAAAGCAGCATACGCACCCTCACGGCCTAACGAAGGAGTTAAACATCACGGTTGGGGGTGCATCAAGGGCAGCTCTGAGCCCCTTCTGTTCTCTAACGGCTCGATACCATGGTGAAGCGCCTCGTGGAAGACCACTGAAACCATCTCTCAGCTGACGACATCGCCCTGATAGCGCGATAGTAGAGGAGGAACTACAGGCAAAGGTGCAGCATGGCAGAAGGTCCTGGCAGAAGGCGGGGCTACGGTGAATGTCAAGAAGACCAAGTACCTGAGCTCCGAAGAGGGTGCAGAGCCGATCGTAGACGGCCATGGGGTGAGACCATCGAAAAGAGTGGAGGACTTTCCGCTCGCTGGGAGCGACCTGGCAGCTGATGGCCAGTGTGGATCAGGCGGTGAAAGCACGGGTCACCCAGGTGGATGAAATGGAGGGAGTCACTGGAATCCTCTGTGATCGAAGATGCTCCAGAACGCTCAAAGGGAAGGTGTACCGAACAGTAGTCAGGCCTACGATGCATACGGCAGCGGATGCTGGCCCTGAGCAAGAACCACGAAAGGCAGCTTCACTCCGCTGAGATAGGATGCTGAGGTGGGCTGCGGCTGACGCGGCAGGACAGAGTTAGAAACGACGATGTTAGAGCGGTCATGCAGACGGCTCTGTCCAGCTGAAGGTACGGGAACAGCGTCTACGATGGTATGGGATGTGCTAAGGAGGCACCCCGGATATCCGATAAGAACGCGATGGACTTCGAAGTGCAAGGCAAGCGACCGCGAGGAGCCCAAAGAAGAGGTGGAGAGATGTGATCAAGAAGGATCTAAGTGAAGTCATTGGCCACAGCAGGAGGACGCCTGGCAGACTAAAGTGGCGACGACTGACAAAGACAGCGGACCTGCGACTGCGCGGGACTAACGTAGGAGAAGAGAAGAAGAAGAGTCACGTTCACTCGCACGCACATTCACACTTGCTGGCAAAAGCCGTCTGTGCTCTTCGCGTGTACATTCACTCTCGAGTTACTCTCGCACAGTAGAGAGCCATGGTTGCGGAATTCCTCGACCGTCATTAGCCCTACTTGCAGAAGTTGGTGTTACCTCAGATAATGCGCCAGCAGAAACCACCGAGTCGCAGCAGTGTCGGCAGCATATGCTGCCGAGACGCCCACTCGTCGTGATTGCTACCACCATAAAGTTACTGCGTGCAGACACGGAGCCAGCACTCAGAGACTTGGGCTGTCGGCAGCATATGCTGCGACATGCTGCGGCCCGTAACTCGGTGGTTTCTGCTGAGGATTATCTGAGACGTTGTGAGGTCGCTAATCGTCCATGTCCAGTTAGAGGGCAGAAATCTTTGGATGAAAATGATGGATCTGTTTTTTTTTGTCGATGCGAGTATTGGCTGCTCTGAGTACTTCAGTACTACCAAAAACATAAAGTGCCCACTTCTTATGTCCAATATCCATCTCGTGAAGCATGTGGAAATCTGCTTTCTGAGAAAGAAAACCCATGACAAATTCACAGACAGCGGCTCTGTCTTTCCTTAGGGGTGAGTACAAATGTCGAACTTCGTATATGGAAGCCGAAAAAGGCTCATACACACCTATTTGTAAGAGGATCCAAGTATATATTGACAAGCTTGAAGAAATGAAAGATTCAGACGTTGTTGATTACTCAGTCTATTAGATCGTTCGGAACATCCCCACGCAATTGGTAGTTCAATGTTGAACACTTCTCTGAACTGATTTCAAGAGAATTGCTGTCACGTGAGATGATTCTTCCCATTTCCAAAGCCTCAAGGACAAAAACGCGATAAACGGGAGTTTATGAGAGGCGACGATGAATATGTAGTGGGGAAAGTGGTGTTCTAGTAGAAGATATTTCAACCTAGGCTGGTGTCAGAATCCGCGAACTGTCGCACGATTCGCACGAGTTGCAAAAATCGCAAGTGCCCCATTTGACTATTTAGAACACTGAATATGAATCAAAGAGTCATAACCAGTTGTTATTCAACCATCACCATCGAGAGGAAATGGCGGTGGGATTGGAAAGCACCTCGCAGTATTGATCGGGCACTTGTGATTTCTGTGATCCGTCGCGCGACGATTCGCGGACTCTGACATCAGCCTTACACACACGGCAGAAGGAGGGAAATCAACGGCATGAAGGCGCTGATTGCATCGGAAGCACCTGCTTTTTGATACACGCCCACCGCTGGCACGTGAAAAACATGGTAATGTCGATGTAACTGGAACAAAATCCCAACCGCCACTGTTCAATTCTCTTTTTTAAGAGCGTTATTGTACTACCATCAAAGCAAGCTCGATAGCGGATGACATGATGCCAGAATACAACTTCACCGAACAGAACATTTGGGCACCTTATGAACCATCACTATTTTTAAAGTAAGCCATACCAGATCGCTCACTTTTTCAGGGTTGTGAACGCATCATGTTGGATATCCATCGAGTATTGAAAAGCCAGCAAATGCTTAGACCTATCGATGAGCAGGTAATTGGATTTTACAACAAAAGCATCGTTATTGTAAAATTGAAGGACCTTTCCGGAATATATAGGATGGTAGCTTCGTAAAATGAGAAGAGAATTCCAATTTCCAATTCTTGCTCACAGATGCTTTGCAGGATATCATACGTGCTTTCGAATCTATTCGCCACAGGCATGAAATGACTGTGACTGAAACAAGAGAGATTGTAGCCAACAGCGTCATGATTATGCAGACAAGGATAGCTGACGCAACGTTAGTTTGCAGTATTATCCCCTCAAAATCTAGACTGCTGTTAACTTTACCTGGGTTTAAACGATTCATGCCTAGATAATCTATACTGGGGTGCCCGACAGGAGGCCCGTCGCACGGCAAGAAGGCAGAATCGGCGGACGAGTTGCAGGGCGTGATGGGTGCAGGACGTACAATAGCACATTCTACTTGATTTGACGCGGAACCACTACACTATGCGCTGCGACTCGCCCGCTGAATCTACCTATTTGCCGCGCGACAAGCCTCCTGTCGGGTACCCATTTATTCTAGCAGACAGAGAGTGGTGTTGTTTACATTCTGTATCAGTTCAAGATCTGAATCACTTAAATCTTGGAACTAGAACATGGTTTATGGTATTACAGGAGACGACGTCGCAATTTCAGCAAAGAAGCGACTGCAATCTTACAGGAATATTATGATGATCATTTCGATCATCCATATCCAAATGAGGAAGAAAAACTTCAGCTGGCTGCTAAATGCCACATTTCTATGCAACAGGTACATATTCAATACATCTATATTGACATATGCGGAGAAATCTCAATGAGATAAGCAATCCAATGTACAAAGAGAAGGAATAACGTTACACTTTCAAAGAATCCATCAAAAAAGCGGAGGGTCAGGGCTTGATCACCCTTGCAAGTCTGTGGTAAGGGATGAGAGACTGAGCGAGGAGAGGAGTGTATGAGGCGAGGGAGCACAACAGATGAGAGAGCGTCTGCTGTGGACGGAGGACATGGCAGTTGACTGCGGTTTACTTGACAAAGACCTAGCGCCCTTGTCGAGCCATTTCCAAGCACGGGAGTGTCACAGCTGTGATTGCCCTTTAAGGGTCTATCCTGCAGCCCGGAGGAAGCGGTTTACATGACTTCTGCCTAGGTTGTGCCTTTAGGGAAATATGCAAGCATGGAATTCCATAAAGCATCTCACACGGAAGAATTCAGAGGCTTTTTCCATTCACACGTGATGCGGCGTTCCAGTTCAACGAAATATTCGATCTCTTCATCAGCTTGCAGTTTAGGTTTTCTTCAGTTTAGCCTTTCTGAGTTCTTTGTTCTTACTCTTTTTTTCTTCTTTTTCAGTCCAGCCTTTCTAAGCTCTTCTGATGCTCGCTAGAAAGCTGAGAAGTATACAGCTGCTGAGAGTGCACCAGGTTCTTCTGGATTATAAGGCTGTTGCAAATTACTTGTTGCTAGCGTGACCAACGAAATGCCGTCATGGGGTTGCTGGATGTGGCCGTTGGCCAGAATTTTAAGCCAATACTTCACTAACAGGAGATCGGTCTTCCCACTCCGAGGCACTCATCTTACACCACTCACCTTCAGCGGCTGGTCGAGCTCCAAGGTTGCAGTGCCCCGAGAGTCAACCAGCGACACTTGTCCAACTGCAGGTCGGCAGGAGGTTAAATAAACAGCCACGGTTGCTGAAGCTATTTCCTCGATCGAGAACGCTACCCTAGTGCTTTGAAAGGCAGCAATTATTGCAATGCTCCCTTGGTTAAGCAGGGGCAGTGAACGACTTCATTTATT